GATGATGTTAAACAAGAGATTTGAATAAAACAACAGATGACCATATATGGTCATGTGAGCTCATTAATATGCATAATCGTTGTATCTCAAACACTGTTGCAGTTAGGAAGATGAATCCTGTGTTATGACTATGTTGAACAAGAGATTTGATTAAAATAACAGATGATGACCATATATTAATAACCTTTATATCTCAAATAAATATATGGAACCAACTGCATTTCGACCTCATGGTACTGTACTAATCATTCAAACTAATTGTGTATCATGTGTATCATTTGACATTATTTATGGCATGTATACTTGGGCCCCTGTGATGCTGCTTGCAGCTTTAATTTCTTCTTCATCTTCTTCTTTCTTCCGTAACTTTTTTCGTCAAGCCGTTTGAGAAAACTGCTGAACGGAATGGTCTGATAATGCTCTATACTGATAGTCCCTAATGTGAACTGGTGCAACATGCTTTCAGAATTTTGATTGGCCAATTAGTTTGGCAGCCATATTGGATTGAAATAAAACCGGAAGTGGCCGTTTGACCACTTTCTGAGGGTCTAGGCGTCTAGTATTTGTTATGGTATATAGTACAACTCATGTGTAATAAATATCAGCAATAAAAACTTTAGCGGTCATGTGACTTTTCCCGCCATTTTGTTTTTCCTAAAAACGGCAAAAAACACTTTAAAATCTTCTTCTTCAGAACCGCCAAGTAAAATGTTCTCATATTCAGTACTTAGCTTCTACATATGGAGCAGATTTAGATTTGAGAAATTCATTATGATTGGTCACGTGGTTTGGCCGCCATTTTGGGTTTGTTCTCAACAGGAAGTAGTTTTTTACTCATGCCACACTTGAGCGTTAATCTCAAATATTGCGTCATGGCATGTCCCTATCTAACCCTTTCAGAAACCTAAAAAAAATTTCAGATCAGTCACGTGGTTTCGCCGCCATCTTGGATTTTATACAAAATTGATCAAAAGTTTGGGCATTTGTTTCTCAGAGGTGAGTCAACTAATCCACTAGATGTTTTTATATTTACCATGCCTGGCCTTAGCTCCATATGAGAAAAATAATATTATTTTGATCAGTCACGTGGTTTGGCCGCCATCTTGGATTTTGTGAAAATAGAAATTATGCAACTACATGTTTTGTATTAGTCTGATTTTTTTCAAATTTTGTATGTGCATTTGTGTCATCAGATGATCATTTTGCCCCAATAGCACACTGCTCGGCCACGTGGCTGGGCACCCATGGGGTGGGGGCTTCTAACCTCATTAATATGCATAACTGTTATAACTCAAGCACTGTTGTAGTTAGAATGATGAATCCTGTGTTATTATGACAACGTTGAACAAGATATTTGATTAAAATAACAAATGACCATATATGGTCATGTGAACTTATTAATATGTATAACTGCCATATCTCAAACACTTTTTCAGTTAGGAAGATGAATCCTGTGTTATTATGACAACAATGAACAAGAGATTTGATTAAAATAACAGATGACCATTTATGGTCATGTGAACTTATTAATATTCATAACATTAATATCTCAAATAAATATATGGAACCAACTGCATGGGGTGGGGGCTTCTAACCTCATTAATAATCATAACTGTTTTAACTCAAGCACTGTTGTAGTTAGAATGATGAATCCTGTGTTATTATGACAACGTTGAACAAGAGATTTGATTAAAATAACAGATGACCATATATTAATAACCTTTATAACTCAAATAAATATATGGAACCAACTGCATTTCGACCTCATGGTACTAATCATTCAAACTAATTGTGTATCATTTGACATTATTTATGGCATGTATACTTGGGCCCCTGTGATGCTGCTTGCAGCTTTAATTTGTGATGTATTTTTTTATTTGTTAATAAAAAAAAATTGCATTGCTAACCGCAGAGCTATCTCAGTCTAAAGGCTGCTTGTTTATGTATGTTTTGACTGTTTCATTTCATTTCAGTAATAATTATCTAAATTACTTATTTTAATAGCAAGCACAACAATAACGACCCGAAAGTGTATAACAGTTTAAAATTGTGTGTGTTGTTTGTTTGACGGCTCATTCGTGATAAAACATTATAAGGATGTTGTTCAATTAATAATTCTAATACTACGTTTCAACGATCTTTGATTGCATTACTTCTATTTTAAGTACCGGGGTAAGTCAGTGCTAGGCATTGCCTGATATATATTAATGTGTAATCTGTGATTTAACAATGTCTATATTTTCTATTTTGACAGAGAAGGAAGAGCTGCTCTAGTCACCTCATTTAGTATGTTTAAATATATGGCATTGTACAGTATCATACAGTTTGTGTCTGTCATGATTTTGTATTCTGTAAGTATTCTGTGACCAAATAAGAAAAGAAAGAGTTGTCTCATCATGTGTGTTTGTTTGTTGTCTTTTTTACTGATATTTTAATCGCACATAAGAATACCACTCAATAAATTACAATACATTTTACTAATAACCGTGGCTGATAGTTAATCTCATCGTACAGACACAATACAACGGATAAATACAAATACAACTGTCAGGTTTCTTGTTTTGTAAAAAAAATTTTTTTTTTTCTTTATTCTATTTTCAGATAATGTCCAATCTTGGTGATATAATGTTTTTATATATTGACATATGTATCATCACTGTGGTGGCTATTCTCAGTAAGTATTGGTCATGGAAAAGAAAGCAGTAGGTCAAAAGGACATGCAATCAAGTTTTACAGTGATTATTTGTTTTCCAAAAATGTTGTGCAGATTGAAAGCAAAAATGAATAGGATCCTTCTTTTTGACAAAGTAAC